TAAACAATACTGGCTTCCACAGCAACGGAAAAGGAAACATCTCTGAACTTACTTGACTTGACGATAGAAATGATTATAGAAGGGATTTTTTTTTAATGTTTTTGACTCAAATTTGAGTAGATCAGATCATAATATACAAAATTAGAAAAAATATTGTGTGAAACACGTTGGGAAACACTATTTTTCGTAACTCGCTTTCTGCTCGTTACGAAAAATAGTGCTTTTCCCAACTGGTTGCACAAATAACTATTAAAATATTTGTAAGGGAAAAATAATATTTTTTTGTACTTGTAATATAGAATAGTAAACATTTTCAAAATATTTTTTTTGTTTATTTTTTTTTTTTTGCTCCTATATTATAAATTCATGAATCAAATTATATGGCTACTCCATAATAGCAAGTACCTAGTAACATTTATTGTAATTTTTTAATAAAGTAATTTTACATTCTGATAAATTTGGTTTCATTTCGTGTCAAATAAATGACTTTCTAAGTTGAAATAAATAAGCAGAACATTGGGCTAGTACAACCCACCCGTCTCCTTACCTACCTACTGCGGGTTTTCGGCTCCTTTATGGGTGTAGGTGCTTGGCCGAACAATACAGTAATGATTTTACGACTTTTCTTATATCTCTGAATAAACTACAGGCGAAAAAATGTAAAATTTTTCTTTTTTTTTTGAAATATCAGTGCGGTAAAATTTTTTCCGCACTGACAGCCGTGCGGAAAAACTTTTTCCGCACTGATATGTCAAAAAAAAAAGTTTTACCGCACCGTGCGGGAAAACTCAGGCCTTATCCGCACTGAGTGCCGAAAAGTAATTATAATTGTCAAGCAACAATAAGTGCACCTGTCGACTTTGACGCATGATGACAAATTTTTCCTCTGTTTCTATATCAGCCAACATCTATACAAACACCAAATATAAATTAACTTTGACACATTGTCAGATTTGTTCTTTATTTATATGCAAAAATCTACAAACTTTCTCATCAAATTTAAACGCTTTAAGATGAACAGCTCTGACGAGGATTTTCTGTTATGTAATTTTTTGATAAATGCATAGGTTCCCTTCAAGTTAATTAAAAATAATTAAACAAATTATCGTTTTTTTTAAACTTTTGTTATAACCTACCTGATATGAAGCTCGTAGGAAAAATGTTGTTCCTAACACGTGCGCAAAGTGTCTTTTCCGCACGCAAACACGTATCCGAACTCCGCTTCGCGTCGTTCGTATAACTGTGTTTGCGTGCGGAAAAGTAACACTTTGCGCACTTGTTAGGAAAATAACTATTTCCGCAAGTGTTAGGTACAATATTTTTCCTACAGGCGTAAAAATGTAAAATTTTTCCTTTTTGTTTTGACAGATCAGTGCGGTAAAATTTTTTCCGCACTGACAGCCGTGCGGAAAAACTTTTTCCGCACTGATATGCGTGCGGTAAAAGTTTTACCGCACCGTGCAGGAAAATTCATTTTCCGCACGCATATCAGTGCGGAAAATCGATTTTTCCGCACGGCTGTAGGAAATAGTTATTTTCCTAACAAGTGCGCAAAGTGTTACTTTTCCGCACGCAAACACAGTTATACGAACGACGCGAAGCGGAGTTCGGATACGTGTTTGCGTGCGGAAAAGACACTTTGCGCACGTGTTAGGAACAACATTTTTCCTACGAGCTTCATATCAGGTAGATAATAACAAAAATTTAAAAAAAAACGATAATTTGTTTAATTATTTTTAATTAACTTGAAAGGAACCTATGCATTTATCAAAAAATTACATAACAGAAAGAAATAACAGAAAATCCTCGTCAGAGCTGTTCATCTTAAAGCGTTTAAATTTGATGAGAAAGTTTATAGATTTTTGCATATAAATAGAGAACAAATCGGTTTTTTTTTTCAAATTTTTGTTATTACCTACCTGATATGAAGCTCGTAGGAAAAATTTTGTTCCTAACACGTGCGCAAAGTGTCTTTTCCGCACGCAAACACGTATCCGAACTCCGCTTCGCGTCGTTCGTATAACTGTGTTTGCGTGCGGAAAAGTAACACTTTGCGCACTTGTTAGGAAAATAACTATTTTCTACTTGCGTGCGCAAAGTAATCACTTTGCACACTCATTTGCGTGCGCAAAGTTGAACTTTGCGCACGGAAACTCTTTGCGCACTCATTTTTGTTACGCATAATTACCATAGTTATACTTGATTTTTCAATGTTTTGATGGTTTCTGAATAAACTAATATTCAAAATGAAGGGTTTCAATTGAAATTAACGCTTAGTTCAAAATTCAAAATTCAAAATTCTTTATTTCCTGTTCTGACAATTTTATACATTGTATTAGGAATAGTCAAGCGATAATTTAAATCTAAAAACTAATACTAGAAAGCATTCACAGACAGACACACACACACACCCAGAATACATGCACTCACACAAGCACAGAAATATATAATATATATATAAAAAAAAAAAAAAAAAAAAAATCATAAAAGAGAGATACAATAACGGTTAACAATAAAATTCGTTTACACTATAAAAACATTTTGAGATTAAAAACTTTTTAAGACTAGATTTAAATACAGTACATGTTCTACTTTCCTTAATTTCTAATGGCAACAAGTTAAAGAAGCGGGGGTCCTACAACATTTGGACTTTTGAACGCAATCTGTCCACGCGCTAGCGGGATATGGAGAGTATTCTTTTGTCTCGTATTAACTGAATGAACAAAACTGACTAAAGGAAACTTATTTTTGTTTTTGAAAATGTAGACACATATCTCAAAAATGTATAGACTTGGTAATGTCAAGATTTCAAGCTTTGTGAAGTATGGTTTACATGAATCCAAATAGGTTATACCTGTCATACTTCTTAAAATAGATTTTTGTGCTAAAAAGACTTGACTGGCGTTAGTTGACCAACCCCATAAACAGACACCGTAACGCAACCTTGATTCCACTTCCGCACAGTAGATTGCCTTTAACTGGCCTACAGTGAGAATATAACTTAAATTTCGTAGTTTGAAAGATAAGGAATTTAATTTCGGTATGAGCCCATCACAGTGAGCTTTAAAGTTTAAATTTTTATCAAGCACAATTCCCAAGAAATTTGTGCTATCAGAGACAACATGCACGTGACCACCCACATTCACACTAAGTGGTGTGGTAATTAATTTCTGATGGTTATGAAATTGCATAAGTACTGTTTTTTCTGTATTAAACACGAGAGAGTTATTTGAAAACCACTCATTTAAGGACAACATTGCAGTATGACATTTTGATCTCAAGCTTTCTTGATCTAGATCAGAAATAGTGGTACCGACATCATCCGCATACTTTGCGCACTTTCCCTGAGGAACAGAACTGTCAACTTTATCTATGTACACTCGAAATAGCACAGGGCCCAAAACTGAGCCCTGTGGTACACCCAGCGACACAGACAAATTCTCAGAGTTAATTGATCTTTGCCTACCCTGGCTCAAGTTGACAATTGTAACATACTGGCGTCTCTCAGACATGAAAGATCTTATCCATTTGCTCCAGCTTCCACCAAAACCAATCTCACACAGCTTCCTCTCCAAAATATTGTGATTAACGCAGTCGAATGCCCTACTGAGATCGCAGAAGATCCCAACAGGGCACTCGCCCGCGTCAATGCTATCCGCCAACGATTCGTACATGGCCACCATTGCAGTGTTAGTCGACCTCCCGCTTCTAAATCCATGCTGTGTATCTGACATCAAATTGCCTGAATCCAGATGCAATAAAAATCTGTTCAAAAAACAATGCTCAAACACCTTCGAGAAAACTGAGGTCATCGTGATTGGCCTATAATTCTCCAGTAATTGTTTATTATTTTTTTTATGTATTGGTATGACTTTACCTGTTTTTAATCTGTCTGGGAATCGACCTTCGCAAAAGCTTAAATTGATTAGAAAAACGAAAGGTTTTATCAATAAATCGAAGGTATTTTTTATCATAAATGCGGGAATGTCGTCCGGCCCAGACGATTTTTTGTTGTTCAGTTTTTTTCTCATTAACTCAAAAAATTCAAATTCTGTGAATGGGTACAAATGGAATTGTGAGATATCTTTATTTAAAACATAGTCAAAATTAGTAGTTGCCAGATTTATTTTCTTTACCAAGTTTTGGGGAGTATTTATGAAGAAATGATTAAATTCTTTGGAGACAATATCTGGGTTATTGGACACAACCCCAGAAGAAGCAGTAACTTCGAGATTTGACAACCTTCGAGAGTTGGATCCTCGCAACTCAGACACTATTTTCCAAGTTTCCCGAACAAAGTTATTGCTAGAAGTTATTCTAGTCTGGTAAAAAAATTTCTTGCTGTTTTTGATAAGGAGTTTATGGTATTTTTTTTTTCTGAAGATAGATGGTTTTAAACTCTGGATATTTTTTCTGAATCCAAAAATATTCCTTTAAATCAAGACTCGATTTTTTTACATCTGAAGTTACCCAGTTTTTAGATTTTTGTCTTGTAAAGCGTAAAAGCAACGGAAATCTTATGTTGAAATAGTGACGAAATATGTCATGAAAGTACTCGAAAGCAGAATTGATGTCGGTCATATTGTACAAGTATGACCAGTCTTCACCTATCAGGTCCTGTCTGAAAGCTTCAATTGCCTGTTCGCTGAATGATCGACTGTAATAAGAATTAACCGCGCTTTCGGTGTTACCAAAATCGACTTCTGATAAAACAATTCTATGATCAGAGAGTGGAAAATCAAGGACGCAGCTGGAGCCTTTGTTTTCGAAATTTAGGTAAATATGATCCAGAGAAGAAATTGTAGTATCTGTTACCCGGGTTGGCCAAAAAACAATGTTTTCAAGATTAAATTGAAGCAACGAATTTGCAAAGCTTTGGTACTTACTTCCCAGTTTCAAATAATCCAAGTTGAAGTCACCACATAATATAAATTTTATGTTTGGTCTATATAGACGTTCCATAACCCTAATCATTTGCGTTTCAAGAACATGGTATTTACCACTTGGTGGTCTATAGCAACAAATAACAATGAATAATTGGTTATTATTATTTCTAAATTGAACGGCACAAATTTCAGATTCGCCTTCAACGCACAAATCGCTTAGACTTATCTCCTTTGTTTGAAGATCCTGGCGACACCAGATTCCAGCACCTCCACCTCTTGTATGAGTTCGGCAAAATGCACTTGCTAGGTAAAAACCACTTATATTCAGATGTAGAATCGAATCTTTGAAAGCACAGATTTCATTTATACATATCAATTTTATGTCCTTGAATTCATTGAGAAACACTTCCAATTCGCCAATTTTTGAGTTATTCAGAGTCTGAATATTAATAAGCAAAAGTGATGGTTGAAATCCTAATTTGTTACTCGAGGATTTTGGCTCCTTGGGTATAAAAAACGCCTTACACATGTATTTACTGGCCACACGGTGGCATCCATTGCTTTATTGAAATTTTTCTGTAGAATTGTAACCTTAAAAGACGCATATATATTCGAATTTTTGGATTCTATTTTTTCCGTCTTCACTTCAGGAAAAAGAGACTTCAAAAGGTTCGTGATCTGCATAGATGTGGTATCAGGATGCAATCTATATACGTGCAAGTCGACTGACTTGGGAACTGCTCTAATATTTAATTCGGTGTCATCTTTGTTGCCAACCAGAACACGGGGCTTACGTCTTTTGTAGGTAACATTTTGCCATCCACCATTTTCCCTAGGAATGGTTGGATCACCTTTAGGTTTCTGTACAAATTCAGACAATACTGCTTGCTGCGCTTCTCTAATGCCTTGCTGTACTTGTGTCGGGGTTATTGGGATTGATGCCGAAGAACCCTGATTTTGGAGTCGATGTTCCCCTTGTCGCAAAATAACAACGGAAGATCCAGGATCGGACATTGAAGTACTGGGTTGCTTATTTTCTCTACCGGATAACTTTTTACCACTTTGCGACGGAGGCGTCAAGCCGGCAACATTGATTATAGATGAATCAGATTTATTTTTGCATTTAAGCATATTTATTAAAGAATCCTGGGTCGAAATTGTAATTTGTTGGTTCACAATTGACCTCTCTTGCTCTGCATTCATTTTTTTCAGACATTCAATCTCTAATAGGGCACATTTCAACTCACCCTTTGCTGAACGAAGTTTTGAGGTTAGATCGCCATCCTCACCATACAAATCGTTATTTGCGTCAAAAAATTCCACATTTTCACCACATTCCACAAGCTTCCGAACACTTTCACTTACGTTCACGTCAGCGGGTACTTTTTTCGAAATTATAATATCAATTAATTTACTTTTTGTTAGCTTATCAAGCTCTTTGGCAATCTCTCTATTCGCCATGTTGCCAAACTTAACATGATGTTTCCTATCAAAGGTGTCCAAATTGGACCACCCTGTACTGCTAGGAATTTGTAAAATTTTTGATATTTAAGAGACTCTCATGAAAATATTCTTGCTGATTCTAGAAATTCCAGAAGATGTAAAAAGATATTTGGGGATTTAATTTAAAAGACATTCTGAGGAATTCCAGTAGATTTTAAACGATTTTTGAAGATTTTGATTTGATTGATTTTTCTAATATTTTAACAATTCAAAGTTTACTTTTTTAAGATACTCGTAGAAAAAATATTTTTCCTAACACTTGCGCAAAGTGTCTTTCCCGCACTCAAAGCTTATCCGAACTCCGCTTCGCGTCGTTCGTCTAACTGCTTTTTCGTGCGGGAAAGTATCACTTTGCGCACTTGTTAGGAAAATAACTATTGTATTGTGAAAAACATGCTTAAAAAAGCTAAAAATTCTGATTTGCAATTATTAGTTTTAGAATATAATAATACCCCGATATCATCTCTCAAAAGCTACTCTCCAAGCCAATTATTTCTTATGCGAACTGCTAAAACTCAAATTCCAATTTCGGAAAATGCACTAAAATCCATTCTAATTACCAATGACGAAATTAAAAGAGTTTTAGAAAATAAGAAAGATAAAGAATAGTATATTATATACCTAGGTAGAGAAGTTGGTCCTTATATACCGAGCGCTTTTATAAACCGAGGCGCTCGCGCCGAGGTTTATAATGAGTGAGGTATATAATGACTTTCTCTACCGAAGAATATATAGAATTTTTTTTACTACTGCTAGTAGAAAATGAAAAATTTGTTTAAAATCTGTGCTTCAATTATTTTTTTTTGAACGCCCTCTTGAAAGTGCTGCCCTCTATCAACAGCTTATGATAACTTCCTATGTACCTACAGAAACCTGTATTTTTTTTCAAATTGACGTATGGAAATGAAATTGAACCAATAGAAACATGACAATATCCTTGTATCATGACGTCATTTTCATTATTAACCTAGGTATTTTTTCATTATTTTCATTATTAACCTAGGGAGAGAAATTCAATTTTTTCTTAGAAAAATAGATTGAATAATGTCTATTTCTCAGGTTAAGTAGTAGTAAAAAAAAATATTTTTTCAGATTATACAACTCACTGTACATTATTCCCATATGACACGAGAGGCTTAACAAGTGATAAGCCTTTTGGGATTATCGCGCTTGGTGGCAATATTGTTCATTTGTATTAATAATAATATAAATTTATAAAGTATTGAAGTTTAGTTCGTTGTATAACCTTTTAAATACCACTCGATGTTTCAGGATTACCTAATACCGTAGAAGGGGGTGAATAGGATCACTTTTATACTTTGAAGTGGTGCCTCTCCCAAAGTAATAGAGTGAAAATTCTGATGTACATATCAAAACATCAGTCTATACCTGGGCTATCCATTTTTGAGTTCCAATATTTTTTATTCCGACTTGTTGTCCATATATATTATTTTTTTTTGGCTGATCCTATTCACCTGCCATTGTGGTGAATAGGATCGGCAATGATCTTATTATGCCTTATCGTATTCACCTTCTTGTGGGGTGTATAGGATTGCAGAAATTTTATATGTGAACTCTACAGATTCTTTTTTTTTTTTTTTCACTCAAAAACAGGGATCAAACGCATTTTTTTATTGATACAAGTACATGTTAACAGGTATATGTATTATCTAACAGCAAAATCTATTTAAATTGTTTATTATATTCACATAAACGAATTTCAAATCTCATAAGACCTCTGCCATATTTTGCCGGAGGATTCAGTTTTCCAGCAATTTGTTGGAAAGTGAACTCGTACTCGTCTTTCACATCTGGAAAAGTGTAAACATATCCTGAATAGTCTCTTGTAGGTTTTTCGCGTAAGAAGCTTCCTTCGTACCCGTCCTTGTTTATTTTTACAACTTGAGCTATATAATATTTGTTAAAGGCCTTGGATGTACTTGGTACTTTGTCATTGGAGAAATAAGGTAAGTTTATGAGTAACCAGTCACCAATATCAATGTCATCCTTGGTGACGGGCAAGAGACCATGTGAGATTGCTGGTTGGGGTGAACTATTCGAAATGTGAGGGTCAGCAGATGGCAGAACAATGTCTTCTTCTTCAGCACCATCAGAATTTCCATCAATTTCCTCCTCAAACTCGGACATGGGATCCATATCTGAATTTGAATCGTGAGTGCTAAAATTTTGGCTACTTTCGCCAGAAGACTCAAAATCATCAACTGCTACGCTTTTTCCAGCAGGTACATGGAGTTTTTTCTTTCGTTGTTTAGGTTGATTTTCATCATACCGCATCGACTTCAAAATGTGAACAAATGAAGTGTTTATGTCATCTTCCCTATCATTCGTTGGATTCTCCACAGGCAGCATGTTCAATACCCTATCAGCATTTAAAGGTATAATGCCGCATTTATCGAATCCGGCCATTATATTTTTAGATTTGTTGTCTTCAATCGATTCTAATAGCTTCCTTAATAAACCTAGAAAGACGTTTTTGGGAATACCAAATTCCTTTCTTCCAGGTCCTTTTTTATAGAATTCAACAATCTTTCTCCATGCAACCTTCAATGGCTTGAAAAAGGCAACATCTAAGGGTTGCGTCAAGTGGGTGAAGTTGCTGGGTAAAAATATAAAAGTAATATTGTTCACTGAGCACTCTTGTATCGATTGTACTGATAGGTGCGACGATAAATTGTCACCAATTAATATCTTTTTGCCAGGCAACTTCTTCAAGTATGGTATGGCGATTGAATGTACCCAATCCTCGAAACAATAGCTGTCAAACCATCCCGATTTACTACGATTATATCTTGTACGGGGTGGCCCTCCAGTAGTCCAAGAGTCATACATGTTCACGTAGCATGGAAGTAAATCTCCACTACCAGAAGCAGCGAACATAATTGAAGTTGACGACTTACTGTGGTTCATAATTCGCTCCGGATATTTGCATCCCCTCTTTGCAATAATTTTTTTTCGTCCTGGGTCATCGCAAAGGTTGGTCTCATCGTAGTTTATGATGTTGCTGGCTGGAATACCTTCTAGTTCTTCAGAAAGGCGTTCGAAATACTCTGTTATTGTTACCCTCGTAACACCAGCCCGGGCTCGTTTTATATTTTGGCACATTCTCTCCGACAGCATATGCGAATGTCTTTTCAAAAAGCTATATGCGAACTCTTTACCAGGAAGATTGTCCTTGAAACGGGGCACCACCCTACCAGCTCTATTTAAATATTGTTGGATAACCAATCTTAAATCATAGGTATCTAAGGGGTAGCCCCACTCACTGCATGTAAGTAATTTTTCCGCAATACATTTCTCTTCGGCTTCACTTAACACTGTTTGACCTCCTTGTCTTTTAACATTCACATTTGCGAGGCGTCTTTGCAGAATGGTGTAAGGAATTTTGTGTTTTATAGCGGCTTGTCGAATACTATACCCGTTGTTATTAACATCATTTTTAGCCTCTTCAATGATGTTTGGATCAGGTTTCTTGTAAAGTTTTTGTCCTGCTTTGGGTTTATATTCTCTAGGCATTTTGATCCTATTGACCCCAGCCCTTGATCCTATTGACCCCAGCCCTTGATCCTATTGACCCCAGCCCTTGATCCTATTGACCCCAGCTCTTGATCCTATTCACCTCGATAACCTGAAAATCGTGCAACGAAATAGAAAATATTTTTCAATTTTGTTTTTGCTTACGAATAAACTAAAATAATTTTGTGTGCCTTAGTTACTAACCTGTTGGAGTTAATTAGGCCAACTACTCTCAATATATGCTTCTCAAATTCGTATTTACAGACAAAGTTTTGGCGACAATGAAAACAGATGACTGACAGTACTTCTAATTAAGGCCTGGTTTACAGTGCTACCAACTGCTGAATGATAAAATATTGGTAACCTTTATGAGATATAGAGTTATGCAACCAATCAAACTCAAATAGAAAGCATTCATTACGATATTAAGGTTTCGGAAACTAAACTGATAAACTCCCTCTTTTTGATCCTATTCACCACAGAGAATCTATTCACCCCATTTTACCTTTTACCTGCCACTCAACGCGTTATCAGCAACACCACTCCTCCTTCGGAGTGGTGGTGTCGCTGCGTAACGCGTTTCGTGACAGGTAAAAGTATTATCCGGTAATCCTGAAACCTCTTGTGGTATTACATTCGATAATCCATTTGATTGATGGTGATAAGGACTACTGAAAACAATATCAAAACTCCAATTTTTTTTGAACTCAAATGAATTATAAGGATTATTATCACCAAAAAATTTATCTGGCATTTCAAACTGTTGAAATTTATTTTTGCACACCTCAATTAATTCTTTGGCGGTTTTTGTTTTTATAGGAGTGATTTCGATCCAGTTGGAAAAAGCATCGACCATAACGAGATAATTCTTATTTTCAAATTGAAAAAAATCCGAATAAACATATTGCCATGGACGAACAGGGGAAGGATGTGGTATTAAAGTTTCTTTTTGTTGTGATTTTTGATTTAATTGATATTCTCTACAGTTCTGAACATAGTCCTCAATATTCTTTGAAATGTTAGGCCAATAAAGAAGTTGTCGAGCTCTTGATTTTGATTTTTCAACACCAAAATGTGGTTTATGAACAAGTTTGAGCATATCAATTCTTAGAGATTGGGGAACTAAATTTTTTTTATCAAAAAATAGTAAATTATTAGATAGGTGA